ACTGGTAAGAGACCCAGTCTCAAAGTCAAATGGATGGCTCCTGAGGAACAGCGCCTGATGTTAACCTCTGGCCTGCACGCACATTTATGCAGGTGTCCATGAACACACACAAACCGGAATACATGAACAGAATTAAAAAAAAAAGAAAAAAGAGGGCTGTTGTAACCTTGCAGGGGAAACCACAGAGCATCACACAGCACAGAAGGTGAAGGCACCGGAGTGGTTATGAGCGTTGAGAACTTTGGGATCTACAGTTGGCTTTGGAGAACAGAGCCTGACAGATCAGGGCACTTGGATCAGCCAGACTAGCAGTTGATATGCAGCCAATTAGTCACCTTCCAGGGTCTCGGTTTCCTCTTTTTGATGAGACTTCAGTCCTGTAATAAACATCTGATCTCCTACACGATCATCAGTGTGTAACCACTTACTTCCCATTGCCATTGGCCTGCATGTGGGCTTTCGGTTCTCAACTCAGACTCAGAAATTTGTGTTAAAGGGTAGCACTTTTGTTTGATGTGTGTCAAGCCTTAATTTGGTGCATTGATTACATTTATGCTTTCTTTTTCTTCCCATGGGAGCCCCCCGGTTTTTTTTAAGTTGTTGGGCAACATATCAAAATGCTTTGGAAAGCTGCTCTTTGCAGTAGAAAAGAATGTCCAAGTTTCTGTGTTAAATAAAGTTAATATAATTTTAATGAATGTCCTTGTGGTATTTAGTAGGAACTATTTCATGAGTTTTAGGGGCATCGATGTGTGCAAAATATAGTAGTCTGATTAGAGAGAATTATCTCGTAGACATCTTAGAATTCACTAGAGAATGCAACATCTTTGGGAATTTGATTTCATTGTAAGAACTGTGCTCCTGTGAGGTCCACAAATGAACCTCATGTACTTACTTAGAACACTTGGGTCCACAAATGAACCCCAGGCACTTTGGACAAATGGAAACTGAGTTCCATGCTGCACTTCAAAAAATGTAATTTCTCTGCTGCTAATCAGTTGCCTCAGTGTTTTTTTTAAATGTCTGTTTTTAACCTTTTTAAAACAATTTTTCTTTTTAGATTTAGTTGCTTTATGTATATTAGGATTTTGCCTGTATGTGTGTATGTATGTCATATGCCTGCCTGGAGCCCTTGAAGGTCAGAAGAGGATATCAAATCCTCTGTGACTGGAGCTAACAGTTTTGAGCCTCTGTGGCAGTGGTAGGAATCGAACTTGGAGCCTCTGTAACTATCTTTCCAATCCTGCGTTTATACCTTGAGCTCATCTGACCCTCCTTGTATTTTATTGCTTTCTTGGAGCCAGGACTGTGTTCCATGAAGAGAAATTATAATTGCAAGTAGAGGGAAGAAATTGATCTGGCGTGCTGTGTCCGGACCGTTTTTCAAGTTGGCGTAGGTACAGCCAGGCCTTGCTTGTATCTCACCGTTTGAATGATGCACGTTAGAGTGAAGTAGTTGTAGTCATAGTTACTCGTTTAGCCAATCATAGTTTGGTGGCCCAGTAGACCCAGAGTAGGTCAGTGGATTGTAAGAAAGATTAAGGGAACCATTAGGAGTACTGACTGTCAGTTTGTTCCAGCAGAGAGCCCAAGACCAGGGGAACTTTAATTTTTACCTTACAGGTGTCTCTCCTCACTTGCAAGTACACTTTCCTTAGGGTGGGTCATCTTCAACTTGAGGAAGGCACAGGAAAAGTTGTGTATGCAGGATATACTTTCGTATACTCTATTCTCATCTGTATTTTTAAGTAATTGTGCATCCACATCAAAATAGATTTCCTTTCCTTGGGTGGGTTCACGTGGTGCGTGCACATGTGTGTGTGGAGGGCAGAGGTCAACATCTGGTGTTCTCTTCAGTTTCCACTTTATTTTTGAGACCGGGTCTCTCACTGAACCTGGAGCTGCTGATTCCACTGGGCTTGCTGGCCAGCCAGGGACTCTTTCTGCTTGACATCCTCCCTGGGCCTAGCGCCGCCGGGATAGTGGGGCCCTAAGTTAGAATTTTTGCATGTGTGTGGGGGGGGAGGGAGGGAGGGAGGGAGAGGAGAACAGACACAAACATATCGGTGCTTCTTGTTTTGCAGCCATCATTGGCATTTCCCTTCTCTTGCGTGAATTTTCATCTTCTGAGCTCAGTGACGTCCTGGAGGCTGGTACTTGTCCAGTCTTTTCTGCAGGACTAAAAAGGAAAGGGACACCACCACTGTACGGTTTCAGCATTAGTACAAGGGTCAGTTAACCAGGCTGACTTGTGTAACACACTTGGGGCACTGGTTAAAAGTTGAAATAGCCGAATTATGACTCAGCCCACACCCCAGCAAAATAAACCTATCTTCACAATGCTCTTGGTTTTCTGGTTGAGAAAAATCTAACTTTCAGGATTCTTTCCTGGGTCAAATTCTTTGTCATTTCAAAACAATGTTGAAAGTTAAATTCTTTTAAACAAATGTCGGATTTAAAAAAAAATCTGTTTTTGTCACTAAGTCATTTAAACACTGACTGGTTGGTGTTTTTGTAGGTGAGTTTTATTTAGAGAAAGTAGTCCCAGTGCTCTTTGTTGTTCTCTCCCTGAGAGTCCCTGAGGTCCCTGAAGTCCCTGAGGTCACTCCACTCCAAATGACAGAACACAGCCCCTGCTCACTTTAGAGTTACTGTTGCATCTCCGACTTAATCCACTTAGATATTTAAGCAAAGCAAACTGTTTCTACATTTGTGCGCTAACAGGGTGGGGTGGGTGGGGGCTCTTTATTGTCTTAATACAAGGCTTAAGTAATGGGCTTTTGGGGCTACACCCCATCTGCAGTTCCAGCTGCGGGCAGCTCCATTGCTGTTGACAGGAATTCTGATTGGTTGAGGAATGTGGCCACAGCATCAAGTGTCACCAAGCAGGAACCCAGGCTCCTGGGTTCAGATGTCTTCAGCTCTTATGTCATCTTGCTAGGGTCGGAGCCTAGCAGCCAGTGTTTTCTGTCTGTGGACTGCAGCTCGGTCTCAGTCCGTGTTCCCAGAGGTACCTTAGTGAAGGAGATGTGTAGACTTTTCTCATGACTGTTTTCATATCTGGAGTGGGAGCTATCTCCCTGTGAATACCACTGAAAGCCTGGCCCAAGTGGGCTAAATATTTCAGTGAATAGTTATGATTTATTTATGTATTAAAGAGGTGTAATGTGAACACAGGACCATAGGTGACTGTTATATCACTACCCCTCTCCCTTTCTTTTCTCCCCCACTTCCTGTCTCACGGAGTCCCGTATGGGAGAGCACAAAGGCCTTTATCTTCATCAAAGACTACTTGCCAGAGACCCACACCAGGCCTGGCCTGGTGACCTTCACTCACTAGAGGGGTTGTGCGGGGGTCACTGGAATTTCACCTGATCTCAGCCATTCCCTCCTGCACCTCATAGCTTGCTGTTGGTAACTCTGTACTTAACCTCGCGTGTGGCTTTGTGGTCTGGGGTGGGCTGGAATGTATAGTGTGTAGAGGGCTAATGGAAGGAGGGAGGGAGCTTTGTCTGTGTCTTGTCCAGTCTGGGGTGAGACTGGGTGGTGGGGCTGCTTTGGGGTCACCTGTGCTCCTGTAAGTAACCCCTCACCCAAACTCTTCAAGTAAGCCCAATAAATTCATTGCTTTCCCCAAGTTGGACTTTGGTGGAATCGAACTTTGGTTTGTTATGGTGTCTCTGTCAGGGGTGAGAATAGATGTTTGTTCTTGTCTCTGCAGGGAAAGAAAGAGTTTTCTAACTGGTGCCAAGCTCATTATGCAACTGAGATGGCTTCAAACTCTGGATGCTTCTCCCTCTACTTCCTGAATGCCTTGATTGCTGCCTAGTGCTACCGTTCTGATCTAACCAGAGCTGGCTATCAAACCCAGGGCTTCAAGTGTGCTTAGGTGGGCCTACTACCAGATGAGCTATGTTCCTGGCTCTCTTTCATTTCTTTCTTTGGTGCTGGAGGTTGGACCCAGGGCCTTGGCCACTCTAGGCAGGTGCTCTGCCACTGCTAAGATGCATCTGTAGCCAGCTGTTATTTCTTACTCCTATGTGACCAAATAGAGCAGTGGTTCTCAACTTTCCAGATGCTGCAGCCCTTTAATACACACAGTTCCTTGTGTTGTGGTGACCCCCAACCAAAAAATTATTTTCATCATTACTTTACAACTGTAATTTTGCTACTGTTATGAATCCTAATGTAAAAATTTGTGTTTTTCGATGGTTTTAGGTGACTCTAGTGACAAGGTCCTTAGACTCCCAAAGGGGTTGTGACCCACAGGTTGAGAACCATTTAAATAGATGATAACAGTAATGCTGTATCTTGAAGATAGCTATGGAACTGATTGGTACACATGGAAAATAATACCCAGGAACAAACACTTGAATTGTTTTCTATGTACTGAGAAAATTTGCAGGCACAATTGTAGAGTGTAGTCTTCCTCGCCAGCTTGGTTCTAGAGCTGCATCAGTCCCAAATGAACACACAGGAGGCTATATTAATTATGAAGCTGTTGGCCATTTGCTTCGTTTCTTACTGGCTAGCTCTGACTTAAGTATTTAACCCATAGTTGTTAATCTAAGTATTTCTCTTACTGGAGAAAGGGTCTGGACCTCTTAACTCCTCTGGTGGCTATATCATGTCTCTCTCTGCCTCTCTTTCCCAGAATCCTCCTTGACTCCTAGTCCCACCTATCTTGCTTCCCTATTAGCCAACAGCGCTTTATTCAACAACCAATAAGAGAGACAGATTTACAGAATGACATCTCCCATCCCACAATAGTGTCAATGAGTCCAAATGAACATTGTGTGTAAGAGAGAGACACAGAGAGAGACGGAGAGACAGAGAGACAGAGAGAGAGAGAGATGCATGTCCAGGAGAAGACATGTGTCCTATTCCCTCACTGTCCACCTTACTCTGTTGAGACAGGGTCCCCCTCATTGAGCCAGGAGCTTGACTGGTGGCTTGCCATTGGTCCTCCTATCCACCCCCTCCACAGCCCTGGGGTTTCAGGTGCTTGTGTGGCCGTGCCTAGCTCTTTGTGTGTCCTGGGTTCTCATGCTTGCACATCGAACACTCTTACTCATTGAGCCGTTTCCCCAGCCTCTAGCATCATCTTTAGTGGTGAAGTCTTGGACACATGATCAGGAATAATTAGTTCAGTGGTGGATATGGTCATGATTGAGTGTGCTGTGTTTGGAGGCAGGTTTTCTGCAGCCAAGGATGACTGTGAACTCTAGATTATCCTGCCTCCACCTGTACGTACACGCCCACTGCTGGGATTTTATCCTGCTTCCACCTGTACGTACACGCCCACTGCTGGGATTTTATCCTGCTTCCACCTGTACGTACACGCCCACTGCTGGGATTTTACAAGCACGATGGTTTTATGTTTTATTAAAAGAGCATCCAAGAATCAATGGTAAGTAGTGACGAATGCTAGTGAAGTAGCTGGATGGGCAGTTTCTCTCTGGTAAACGTCGTGGTTTTCTATTCAGAGGTCAGTCTGGAAAGGGGCGGGAACAGGGTGTAAGGCACATGGATGGACAGGCCACAGGGAGAAGGGAGGTGAATTCCCAGCCCATGACGCAATGCTCTGCTTTGTTGTTCTTATGCCCCTGTTCTATCCTCTTCCACTTCTTCTTTCTCATCTCCCTCCTCCATCCTCTCCCCCTCCCTTCTCTTTCTCTTCCATACCCCTCCCCTTCGTTTTGTCTTTGAAATGGGGTCTCAATGTGTAACCCTGGCTGGCCTGGAACTCACTGAGTAGACCACAGAGATGATTTGGCCTCTACCTCCTGAGTGCTGGGATTAAAGGCAGATGTCACCATGCCAGACCCAGAAGTATTTTAAAGCGTATGGCCATATTGTGGGATATTTCCTCACCAAGGAGTATCCTGGGGGCTCTACAGAACGGGACATGCGGCACTTGTTCTTAACTTGGGATAAACTTTTCTTTTTGAATATGTTTATTCTGATATTGAGGCATCCTCCCTCCGATCTGGCTTGCTAAAGTAAATCTCAGTTGTTCTCATCAGACTCAGCCCCCGCTCATGTAGCTCATAAGCACTTTGAGGATCTGGGATCTTAATTCTGAATTCTCCTCATTGTACCATTTCTTTATTCAGGGACATCTCTGACTTACTTTTGTGAAATACTCTGCATTCCCACCTAAGGTGCAAGGTGTGACATGTTAAATGGTACTTATAAATTAGTGTATGGCAGTGCTGAACTTGAGTTTGTTTGTTTTACGTATATTTAGTGTGTGAGGGATACACGTGTGGAGGTCAGGGAACAACTTTGGGAGTCAGTTCTCTCCTTCCACATGTGGCTCCTGGGGCTTGAACTCAGAGCCTTAGGCTTGACAACAGGTGTCTTTATCTACTGCACTGTCTTGCTGGCCAGGAGTGCCTAAGGATATTTTAATATTGGACTCCATAAAAACAGAGAAAGTGGCAGCTCCTACAGAGCATCTGAACTTGTTCTTACTTCTTAGATCTTAGGTTTAAAATCCAGAGTTGCTCTCAGTTGCATTCTGTGTCTGTTAAGGCCCATTACAGATTGCAAGTCACTTGCTGGTGACACTCTGGCCTCAGGTCTGTTCCAGCACCTCACAGTGTCCCACAGTTTTCAGGGAGCTGCAGACAGCACCACACCAGAGGAGGAATGAGGCCTACACTACAGAGAGCCTTTTTCTATGTGCACTTTTATTTCTAGGTTAAAAAATAGCATGTGATTTATTTCATTCTCTGGAAGCACATTGTACCACAGAGAAAAATGATGTTTTCCCGTCCCGAGTGAAGAACTGCCTCCTGCAAGGATGCAGAACCTGAGGGACACATGTGACTGCAGCATACTGCTCTGCTCAGAATAATCAGTGGTCATGCATAGAAAAAGGGCCACGTTATTTATGACATTAGTGTAACTCTTCTTAGGCCTTAGAGAAGATTAATCTTGCATTTAGAAATTTATTGGATTCGTTCATATTTGTGTGCATGTGCACACAGGCATGTGTGTGGAGGTCAGAGGACAACTTGGGGGTGTCAGCTCTTTATTCCCACCATGTGTGTTCTGAAGATTAAACTCACATTGTCAGATTTGGTGGCAAGCACCTTTATTGGCTGAGCTGTCTGCCAGCCCCATACTCAGAAATTGAAACAGTCTTTGTTTGGTTAAACTGTTTTTTTTTTTCCTCCCTGCAGTTATGCAAGATTGAAAATGTGATTTTGATGCTTGTCATCTGTTTGTTTGTTTGTCTCTTGGTTTTAGACAGTTTTACTATGTAGCCTAGGCTGGCCTTGAATTTAAAATTCTCTTGCTTCAACTATCTGAGTGCTTAGATTACAAGTGTGTGCCATCACTTGCTACTCCTGCCAGATGTCTTAAGCTTAACATGTGTCAAAGGGTATTTATTTATTTGTCTGTTTATTTTTGTGTTGGGAATCTAACCTAGAGTCTTAGACATACTAGACAAGCACTCTACCACTGAGCCATGTCCTCAGTTCCTTATTGGGGGATTCTAGGCAGGGGCCCTACCACTGAGCCACACTCTAGGCCATCACTAGGAAATTCTAGGCAGGGGCTCTACCACTGAGCCATACCCCAGCCCCTCACTGGGGGATTCTAGGAATCAAGCCTCATTCTGCATTTTCCACCTTGTTAAATTTCTCTAGTTGCTCTAGATTATCCTTATACCTGATTAACCCAGGGACCTCTGTCTCTGACGTTGCTCCTTATCTGGATTCTCTGCTCTCCTTGCACCCCCATTGTGGTTGAAGTTTGATCATCTGCCTACACACCCACATCTCACTCTGTTTTATTTAGATGCTCTCCTGTCACCAAAACTATCAGCTACCATGTAACTTACCCTCACTGTGTTAGAGCTGGGCATGGCAGTACATGTCTGTAGTTTCAGCACATAGGACATAGAGGCAGAAGACCACCAGAAAATAAAGATTAATAATAATAATAAGGAGGTATAAACATTCTTGTTCCACTGGTTTAAGCAGAGCTGGATGGAGACTCTTTACCTCGTCCATTCTGGCTAGTTGGGCCTTTGCCCTTGTTGCTCTGTCCCCTCCTGCAGCAGGTCTGCTGAGGCTGGTTACTGGTCTGTGCCAGTGTGACTGGAACTCTCCATAGACTGATAACTGAACTGAATCACACTAGGGCAGCTGCCCAGGACAGTGCATCCCACACCAGGAAGTCAGACGGAAGACTTGCATTTGAGCCTTCAGAGCGCCAAGTAGGCGCTGCTTGCAGAAGTCTCCTGAGTCGGGCTCTTGACTTCTGTGTTGTTGCACTGGCCCCTACGTAGAGAACAGAGCAACTCCTGTCTGTCTGTGTGTTAATGTAGGTACTTTAGTTAGTTAGTTTGTATGGTGTGCTTCCGAGTATCTATGTATGCATGTACATATGTGTATGTGTGTGGAGGTCTTCCTCAGTGGCTCTTCACTTTCATGTACTGTGGCAGAGTTCGTCACTGAACCTGTAGCTCACCAATATTAGCTAGCCAATTTGCTCTGGGATCCCGTCTCGGCCTTCCAAACACCAGGATTACAGGCAACAGCCACTCTTGCCAATTATGTGGGTGGGTTCTGGGAATCCAAACTCCTGTCCCCATGCTCGTCCCTGAGCCAATTCCCCAGCCCTGTGCTACAATCTGAACATGCTGTGCAACAAGCAAGCATCTAAACCACTGGTTCTCAAGCAAGGGCATTTTGCCTTTCCAGGAGCCCCAGGTGGCATTGGCACACCGTTTTTTTCCTGCCTTGGCTCTGTGTATGCTTCTAATATGTAGTGGGTTGAAAGCCAGGCAGCTGCTGAGTGGCCCCCATTGCAGACCCTATCCACAGAATATTCAGTTCAGATTGTGAGCAGTGATGGAGAAACCTGGGTCTGGGTTGGGAAACAGAATGCTACTTGGACACAGTATAGAGACTTGTTCTTTTAAATTCTTACTTTCAAGCACAGGCATAATAGAAGTAACCATTGTAATGAAATCTGCTGTCCAAATTGTGGTTGGATGTATTTGAAAAGTAGAGGAAAAGGAAGGAAGCAGTGAGTTACTACTTGACACAGTGTCCCCCCACCCCCATACTGCACCTCTCGGCTTCTCTTCCCTCACCCCTAAGATCACTGAGCAGCCTGGCTCCATGTTGATGGCTCACACTCTGCCTTTTCACCACTGTTCTTCAGTTCAGCATCGTGATTGTGAGATTTGTGCACACATGCACTGTGGATCGGCCATCCTCTTCACTGCTCGGTACTCTGGGACATCACTGTACTGGAAGTGAGACTTGCCTTTCCCTGTTGGTAGGTGACCAGGTGCTTTCTAGTTGCCAACCTGTGCCTTGTGTTGTTGCATGGGCGTCTGTGTGTTTCTCCTGGGCAGAGAATTGCTAGATAGGAGTAGAGTGAGCATGTGCTTAGCCAAACATTTTCTCCGAGTGGGGCTGCCCGGTGGACCCCCGCCCCCATTCTACAGTGAGAGAGAGTTCCGGCTGGCCATCCCTGGTGTTCCCTACTCTCGTTAGTGAACCCTTTCAGTGGCTCTGGCTTGGAATCATCATCTGATTGTTCTGCTGTGACTTTTCAGTCCCTTTCCCATCTGGGCCTTAAATAGAAAGTGGCTTCGTCCAAAGACTTAAGTTTTAAGTAATTACAGTTTCACAGGAGGATGGAACAAACTATAGGGAAGTCCTGTGTATCCTTCCGTGGGCTCCACTATTTATTTATTTTTTCTGAGACAGGGATTTATTTTTCTGTTTCTCTGTGTAGCCCTGGCTGTCCTGGAACTCACTCTGTAGACCAGGCTGGCCTCAAACTCACAGAGATCCACCTGCCTCTGCCTCCCGAGTGCTGGGATTAAAGGTGTGCGCCACCAACGCCCGGCTCTACTGAGCCATCTTATAGGCCCTTGTTTGTTTACTCTGCCTCCCCCCAACCACTTTCCTTTGAGAGAGGATTTTGTGTAGCACTGATTGGCCTCAAACTTACAGTATTGCTGGGGATGACCTCCACCTTCAAGTGCTGGGGTAACAGGCATGTGCTACCACACCTAGTGCTGGGAATGGAACCTAGGGCTTCACACAAGGTGGGCAGACACCCAGACTTCTTTCTTCTCTATTTTTTTTCCCCAGAGCTGAGGACCAAACCCAGGGCTTTGTGCTTACTAGGCAAGTGCTCTACCCTGAGCTAAATCCCAAACCTCTTTCTTCTCTATTTTTAATGTGTAACTACAGCATCTTATAAAAGCCAGGAGATTGATGGTTACCATGGGTACAGTTCAACCATGTACTCTGGTACAAGTTCAGATTTTCCCCAGTTAGACCTGTGTGTGTGTGTGTGTGTGTGTGTGTGTGTGTGTGTGTGTGTGTGTGTGTGTGTAGCAGTCTTACGTGTGTACTGATTTGGTACAGA